ATGCCCAGGAGGGGGCATGCAGAAGACAGCCGATCAATGATTCTCGTCATTGATATTTCTATCTCTTTCTCTCCCTCTCCCTTCCTCTCTGAAATTAATAAAAAATATTTTTTTTAAAAAATTAAATAAACCAAGCACATTTCACAATGCCTGGCCAGCAGGGAGCGTGTACCGGGGCAAGTAATTGCCACTATTATGTCCTCTCTTCTAGCCAACGCATAAAAAAATGAAGACTATCACAAATGTCTCACTAAGTATGCAACAACAGCCAACTAAAAAAACACCTCAGGTGATCATGGCCTTTGGAGGGATTTCAAAGAAAATGGACTACCTTCCTATACTGGAAAAAACACCTGACAAATGAAATACCTTGCTAGGGCAGCAACTGAAGAAGGAAATGTGATTATAAAAGCATCATTCTATTCAGGCTATGATATCCCAGCATAGGCAGATTTCATATATACATACATATATTTATCTACCTATCTATCTATCTATTTATTTATTTATTTAATTGATCTCAGAGAGGAAAGGAAAGGGCGAGAGAGAAACAGTGATGAGAGAGAATCATTGATCGGCTGCCTCCTGCACGCCCCCTACAGGGGATCGAGCCCGCAACCTGGGTACATGCCCTAACAGGGAATTAAACCATGATCTCTTGGTTTATAGGTCGGTGCTTAACCACTGAGCCACAACGGCCGGGCAAGCAGCCTTCTAAAAACATTTTAAATCTTGTTTCTCAACGCGGGGGGACCATCAGAACCACTAGAAGCATTTACAATATACAGGTGTCTGACCCCCCGGCCCAGGTCTAACTGAACCAGAATCTCTGTGGTAAGGCCTGGATATCTGTATTTTGGGGAAGTTTCCTAGGTGATTCTAATGCCCACACCTAGTTAAGAACCACTCGATAAAATGATGACAATTTTTCTTCCGTCAAGAAAACTACACATAGACCATGAAAGCTCTAGCCTCAGTTTCCTCACTGGAATGAGATGGTTGAACTAGATTAGTGGTGGCAAAGGGGTGTCAGCCAAGACACCTTAAAATTTCCTGTGTAACAAGGAAATTTTACTGTCAAACCCAATATTAAAACAAAAGTAGAGCTCTGGCCCGTAAGTCAGTTGGTGAGAGCATTGTCCCAGTGCGCCACGGTTGCAGGTTTCACCCCCCATCAGGACCAGAATCAACCAATGAATCCATAAATGCGTGGAAAACAAATCGATGTGTCTGCCTGTCTGTCTCAAAAGTCAATACATTTAAAAATAAAACAGCCCTAGTTGGTTTAGCTCAGTGGATGGTGCGTCAGCCTGTTCGATTCCAGTCAAGAGCACATGCCCGGGTTGTGGGCTCGATCCCCAGTGTGGGGCGTGCAGGAGGCAGCCAATCAACGATTCTCTCTCATCGCTGATGTTTCTATTTCTCTCCCTCTCCCTTCCTCTCTGAAATCAGTAAAAATACATTTTAAAAAATAAATAAAACAAAAAACAGAACTGCTTTGGATGCAGGAAGGAAGGAGAATTGAAGCTCCGTCTGCCTGTCCATCCCCAGCTCATCTCAACGGAATCAACAAGGCTTCGCAGAGCACAACCTGGTCTCTCAGACCAGCTGCAGCTCCCAAACCCTCTGACCTTCCTAAGCTAGAGCTAGTCTGTCCACAACTGGAGGAGCAGAGGGCTGCATCTTCTTGTTCAAGAGGTCCTTCCAGACCTTGTATAGGAAACCAACCCCTTTTATAATAACACACTCCTCTGGTGTCTAACCTTCCATTTAGAAAAACAATTCTCCCCACCTCAATCATCGCTAATCCCACAGTCTCCCGGGAGACCTTCAAGCTCCGAAAAAAAGCCTGGATTCAAGAGGACACACCAAATGCACACCCAGGGACAGGACGAAGGGGAACAGGACAGGAAGGGGCACACAGGGATCACCACCGTGTCTTTTTGAGAGGAAAGAGAAAGATCTGAAAGGGCGAACATTTGTT